ACCTTACACACTGCACATTATAGAACTGAACTTTGACACACTGAATCTCACACCTACTGCACCCTATTCACAAAGACAAAGATATCGTCTATAGTCTGAACACACTGTTGGGGACAAGTGCTGTTAGGAAGCACCTATGAAGGCCGGCACCGCACACTAACGGGTGGGTGGCCAGCACCAGGTCGTAATTTTAGGCTGAGTCAACCTGGGGACCGGTTCAGATAATCGTCACTGGTGTTGGCCGTGAGCGAGAATCGAACTCGGGCCGCCGGGTGAATAGCGCAGCGCGCTAACCGCAGCACTACCGCTCCCGACGATACACATTGCACACTGCACACGCACTGCACACCACACATCCATACTGTACACGGTATAAACTCCACTGGGATCGCCTCCCCCCACACCCCCTCCCTCCATTTCAATGAATACACTCCGATAGGAGATGACGGAAGAGATATCGACTCGCGATAGAGATGCAGCGAGATGAGCGTAACGTAGACAAAATATCGAGGGTGTTACGAGATAGTTACGATATGTATACAGATGACACACCGGTGGATTGAATACAGGTGCAAGCGAAGAGAAATGTGTGACGAGAGAGAAGCTGAAGACAAGATCGAGTTCAGATGAGAGACATTAATCCGTTAGCTTCATGGCAATTGTCTCTTCAGGCTCTGAATTCGAGATGATATTCGTTGCATCTCCGTTGTTTTCGTGATTCCGTGGTTCCCTTGAGCTTATCGGATCCCTACGAGCAAACGGCCATAGGCGGAGTTTGAACTTCTATATTTGGGGGGGGCGGGTTCGCTTTGTCCATCATATTAGGAATCGCGGGTGCATTTAATTAATTAATTGTGCTCTTCATTGTGAACTACTGAAAACTCCGCCCATGAGCAAACCCCCTGCCGTGCGGAGTGAGCTGCGATGCCAAACGCTGAAAAGTGCGTAAAGACACGTGGAGGAGGGAGATGCATTTCGCGGAATCGCATTGAGAGACAGACAGGAAGATGGAAAAAAAACCCAAGGAAGACGCGGATTAGAGAACGTACAGAGCAGGTGAACGACATCATTGTAAGCCCGATAAGAAAAGTCGGTCTTGGCTTGAGTCCATTTGAAAAGGAGCAAAATATCTCAGTGGGCCTTTCCTAGTAAAACATTTTTTTCAACAAAAATAAGACACGTCGCTTACAAGGGCCGATGGTCAACACGAACAAAGGAGTGGCCATCCACACGTGATGGGAACATATCCGAGGTGGAGCGATAACGGCACCTCGCGTGCAGGTGCTGTCGGTGGACTGCTCGTATCGCAGAGCCGGGAGGGGATTGATCACGGCTGATGATGACAGACAGATGACGCCAATAATACCACGAGAGCGGTCATTGGACGTGTGGAGTCTGGCAGGTGGAAGGAAGCGATGGCGAGGTGCGGCGACATCAAAAATATTGCCCGTGATGACCTCTTGACCTTGACCGGGTTCCACTGCTGTACGGAGTGGAGGGGGGGCTCAGACAGGGCTGGAGGGGGACCGAGAGTCGGGGGAATATTTTCCGGAATTCAGCCCTGGACAGCTCCGGTTGAAATTAGTATACAAACTGACGTATGTAGATTTATATTTATCAACACAACCATCCTCAAGAGTCCTGTGCCTCCCATCGTAAACGAGCAATGGGGCCGCGCTCATCTTCGTTGGCCACTCAAGGCAACAACTGGACATTCCGCGTTCCTATGGCGGCTCTTGCGTCCGTATTATTTAGTTCATTGCATATTGTTCCCCTCCTGCAGCCCTCTATTAGATACCCTTCGTTCTTGGGCGCGGGGAACAAAGTGGACTTTGATTTGCTTTGCAAACAACATCCATCCACATCCCCTCCGCCTCCTCCCCTCTCATTGACGCGCTCTCTCCTCCTCCTCCTCCCCGCACCCCCCTCTTGGAGCGGCCGCTCCCTTTGTCCCGCATGCACGCGAGCAGCGTCTAATTAACCAGGCTCGGCGCATGCGCACTCGGGGTTTCTGTTAGCCAGATAATGCCACCTTCTTGCGCCAATGCCCCCCCCCCCCACTACAGACACAAACCCGGACCCCCCCCCCTATCAACTCAGAACCAAACTCTTTTACTATACACGCCCTATACCTCCTGTACCCCTAGCCCCCACACATCATTCTATCCCCTACTCATCCCGCTGTCTATCCCCTATACGTTCCCCTGTCTATCCCCTATACGTTCCCTATTACGATGCCCGACGCAACCCCGTCTATCCCATATGATCCCTGCATTCGCCTGCGATATCCGTTTATGACACCGTATAAAACAAACTAATTATGGAGATAAAAAAAAACTATCCGACAGTGTGCGGAGACTGTGGTCACCACCAGGCAGAACAGACCCGCGGAACGTCTGTAGAAACTCAATGCCTGATTCACAAACACGGAGGAGGATGCATCATCAACTGCCATGCGCCACTCCGCCGCTCGTGACGCAATTATTTGGCTCATCCACCTCAAGGTATAATTATCACTGTTGCTCTACATCAAAGACAGACTGTTGGGGCAAGTGCTGTTAGCGAGTCGCACCAATGAAGGCCGGAACGGCACACGAAGGGGGTATGGTGGCCAGCACCACGTCCGGCCGCCTCTGTCTCCCCAGTGGCGATGTTCACACATCACACCAGGTACTCATTTGAGGTTGAGTCGACCTATGAGAGGCCCAGGACCTGCATTGCCCTCTCCAACACCTCCTGCACCACCAGAGAGCGAGGAGAAAGCCAAGATGGAGAAAGCGTTGGTAGAGGAGATGGGAAATAGAGAGAGTGAGAGGAGAGAGGCAAGGGGGAGAGAGGAGACAGCGAGGAGATAGATCAAGAAGAGGAGGTAAATGCAGAGCAGAGTCAGAGGGGAGGTAGGGGAGGGAGATGGGAGAGCGAGGAGAAAGTCAGAGGAGAGGCAAGGGAGACAGAGGGAAGGGAGAGTGAGAAGAGAAGCAGAGGGGTAGAAAGTCTTGCTGCACGTGTGTGGGCTCTCATTTCAGTGGCCCCCTCCAAATCCTCTCAGTTGCCCCCCCCCCTCCCGTGACCCCTATCTCCAGTGACCCCCCCCCCTCTCCAAAAGAAAAACCCTCCCCTCCATCTCGGCTCGGAACATTTCGCACCCAGCCCCTCCTCTCCGCCAGCCGCGCCTTGACGTCCCCCACCCCCTCCTTTCTCCCCACCTCCTCTCCCTCCCTCCAACCCCCTCCCCTCCCCCCACTACGTCCCCCCACCCTCTCCCCGAGGCTGCTCATGGAATCGGGAGTGAGATTCTGGAAAGGAGGAACCGGGACGCGAGACGCGGAGACGCGGGCAGAGCTGCGGAACGGGGGGAGATGCTGCCGTCGGGCAAGATGCTGTAGAGGTGATGTGTGTAGCGTCGTGCTATAGAGAGACATAGCATAGAGCGTGATGCTATGGGGGGGGAGAGTGGCTGTTCGAGAGAGAGAGATGAGACAGAGCGAGAAGGTGCGGTGATGATTTAGGATGCGGATGCTATAGAGGGCAGCTGTAAGGAGATGCTTGCTACATTGAGAGATGCTTTGTAGAGGAATATGCTGTAGGAGCGACACGCTATGGAGACAGCAGCTGTCAAGAGAGACGCTGTGGGAATGAAGAGAACGGTGCCATAGGGAGGCGAGAGAGAGACGGTACGAGGTTACGAAATGCTGTGAAAAACAAGGAGACGATATTGCAGGGAGAGAAGGATGCTGTAGATAGGACATTGGGGAAGGCTGTAGGAGGAGAGAGATCGAGCCACAGAGAGCGAGGTGGTATGGAGGAAGACAGAGGCGCTGTAGAAGGGATGAGAAGTCATTGGGGGAAGGAGAGAGAAGAGCGCTGATGTGCAGGGAGCTTATTGTGGTGCAGAAGCCGCTGTAGAGAGACACGACGGGAGAGACAAGGCGAGAGAGAGAGACAGAGATACCAGCAGGGAAACAGCGAGTGAGACACGGGGGAGAGACGCGGAGACAGACGGAAGGGTTACTGTAGAGACACACGGCGAAGGAACAAGGAGCTGCTGTTGATGGAGGCGCGGAGAGTCAAGGAGAGCTGCTGCAGCTGATGCAGCTGATGGGGGAGAAGACGCATTCGGCTAGAGGCAAAGAGGAGGGAGACGCTGCCGTTGTAGCGAGAAGGGAGATAAAGAAGCAAGGAGATATTGACGCAGACAACGTAGAGTGCTGATCCTGCTTCGGAGACGCAGAGAGACACAAACACAGAGACAAGAGAGCGAGAGACAAAGACGCAGGTAAGGGACAGAGGGATAAGAGACTCGAGAAGAATCCAGGAGTGTGTGAGACAGGAGACGGGGGATACACAGACTCGCGAGTAGATAGACAGGCAGCGCAGTACACACCTAGTAAGACACAGACAGCAGACCCCCCCCCCCGAGGGACAGCCCCCCCCCTCCCCAAGGGAGACAGAACCCCCCCCCCCACCCCGTTCCCGCTTCCTCCGGCCACCGGGGGCCCCGTAGAGGATGCGGCAGCAGCATGGGAGTGGGCGCGGGTGAGCGCGGAGGGCGGATGCTGCTCGCGACCCTGGGCGCCTTCGCCGCCTTCAGTCTCATGACGATCGCCGTAGGCACCGACTACTGGCTGTACGCGCGCGGCCTGTGCCACAGCAAGGACAACGGCGACAATGACACAGGCAAGAAGATGCAGGAGGTGCTCACGCACTCGGGCCTCTGGAGAAAGTGTTGCCTCGAAGGTACGCGGTGGGGGGGGGGGGGTGAGAGCAAGGGTTGTTTGTTGGTGATGGCCCCGGGTGAGGTGGTTGAGGAGGGGTGGTAGGTTTGATTCGGCGGCAAAATGTTGGTGAGATCTTGAGCGAGCGGTGAGGCTGGTGATGGATGGTGGAGCCGATGGTGGGTTGGTGAGGCTAGCAATGCTCGTACGATCCTGAGGGATGTGTGAGGATTGAAGGGTTTAGTGAGAGTAGTAAGGCAAAATAAATATATAGGTGAGGTCTTTCGGGATGGTGAGGGTGGCGATGATGGAAATGTAGGCGCAATCCTCAGGGTTGTGTGAGACCGGTGAGGGGCTTGGTGAGACTTGTGTTTGTTGAGGCTGGGGGGGTTGGTGAGACTTGTGACGTCTGTCGGGTAGCTGAGCCTGATGAGGCTTTTACAAGTTAGTGAGGCTAGTTGAGTTGGGTGGTTGGAGGAGCCACTGAAACTGGTGAGGCTATACGTGTGGGGGAGTTGAGGTTAGTGGAATGGTGTGAGTTGGTGAGGCAAGTTGGGTGGGTAATTTTGTGAAGGTTAGAGGTATGGGTGAGTTGGTGAGAGTAAAGGTGTGGGTGAGTTGGTGGGGCTCGAGGTGTAGGGGAGTGTGTGAGGGTAAAAGAGTGGTTGCTTTGGTGAGGCTATAGGTGTGGGTGAGTTGGTGAATCTTGAGGTATGGGTGAGTTTGTGAGGTTAGAGGGGTGGTTGGGATGAGTGTCGCGGTTGTGGTGAGCGTTGTGGTAGATATTTTGAGGAGTGTTGTGGATATGATGAGTCTTGTGGTTGTGGTGAGGATTGTGGCTGCACTGAGCGTTGTGGTTGTGGTGAGTGTTGTGGTTGTGGTGAATGGTGTGGTCAGTGTTGAGGCTGTGATGTGGTTGTGGTGAGTAGTGTGGTTGTGGTGTTAGTTTTGCCGTGAGTGTTGTGGTTGTGGTGAGTAGTGTGGTTGTGGTGTTAGTTTTGCCGTGAGTGTTGTGGCTGTGGTGAGTGTTATGGTAATGGTGAGTGTTGTGGTTATGGTGAGTGTTGTGGTTATGGTGAGTGTTTTGGTTATGGTGAGTGTTGTGGCCGTGGTGAGCGTTGTGGTGAGAATTGTGGTGAGTGGTGTGGCTGTTTTCAGTGCTGTGGCTGTTTTCAGTGCTGTGGCTGTGGTGAGCGTTGTAGTGAGTGTTGTGGCTGTGGTGAGTTATGGTAGTGGTGAGTGTTGTGGTTATAGTCAGTGTTGTGGTTATGGTGAGTGTTGTAATTATAGTGAGTGTTGTGGCTGGAGTGAGTGTTGTGGCCTTGGTGAGTGTTGTGGTGAGTGGTGTGGTGAGCGTTGTGGTGAGTGTGGTGGCTGTAGTGAGTGTTGTGGCTGTGGTGAGCGTTGTGGTGAGTGGTGTGGCTGTTTTCAGTGCTGTGGCTGTGGTGAGTGTGGTGGCTGTGGTGAGTGTTGTGGTGAGTGTTGTGGCTGTGGTGAGTGTGATGGCTGTGGTGAGTGTTGTGGCCGTGGTGATCGTTGTGGTGAGCGTTGTGGTGAGTGTGGTGGCTGTGGTGAATGTTGTGGTGAGTGTGGTGGCTGTGGTGAGTGTTGTGGTGAGTGTGGTGGCTGTGGTGAGTGTGGTGGCTGTGGTGAGTTTTGTGGTGAGTGTTGTGGCTGTGGTGAGTGTTGTGGTGAGTGTTGTGGCTGTGGTGAGTGTTGGGGTTTATTAGGCCGGTGCGGCCGGTCACTGCGACCCACAGTCCCTGCGTGAAGGCGGTGATGGCGGCACCGGTGAAATCTCAGGTCCATTGTTGTGTCAAGCGAGTGCGAGGCGCTCGGGAGGTGGGGGGGGTGTGAGGGGAGGGTTTGTGGCGGGTGAGGGGAGGCGGTGGCGTGCAAGGGAGCGAGGGGGGCGGCTGTGTCACCAATAGAATAAAAACTGAGATTAGAACCCAGTTCACGGTGGGGTTTGGGATTGTAACGTCACACATCGGTCTCACGCTTTCCCTACCACTATCTCTCTTTCGTGACTGCAGGAATCCATACTCTTTGGTTCTTTCGGTATGTATTTCAATCCCTACCCTGATCTCTATCCCTATCGCTATATTTATTGCGACTCCTATCCCTGCACAATCTCTACTCATATCTCTATCCCTGCCCCTATCTCTATCCCTACCCATATCTCTATCGCTACCTAAATCTCTATTCATGCCCCTATATCTTTAGCCACATCTATTTTCATACCCCTATGTCTATCCATATATCTTTACCCCTATCTCTATCCTTGCTCCTACCTCTATGCTAAGCTGCTCTTTCTGTTTTATTGGCGAAAAAATAACCATCCCAAGGTGCGTCTATACTGCCGGCTCTTCGTCCAGACGTTTCGAGCGTTCTCCTCTAGCACGCGTGGGGGTTTCTCCGGTCACTCGTGTGCCCTCATCATACACACTCAACCAGGAATTGGCGACACAGCCCTATGCGGGACGCTCCTGAAAATTACCTTTTGAGACTCAGTGAGGCCTTTATGGAGAAATAAAGGATGCTCGGTTGATATTGTTGTTGTTTTGAGGGGTGGGGTAAAAAGGGGTGGAGGACAAGGGCGAAGGGGGGGGGCGAAGGGGGTTAGGACCCCCTGGGGGTCGCGGGAGAGATGCGCGTGCACAACAAGATGGCGGGGGCGTTGGGCGCTTTCACGGGCGTCGCGGGCACGCGCTTTGTTAGGGAGGGAGGGGACATGGCTGGCTTTTGCCTCCCTCCCCCTCTCGTCTGCGCCTCTCACTCCATCTCCTTCCTCTCTCTCACCCCAGCTCTGTGTCTCTCTCCATCTCCCTGACATCTGTGTGTTTATTCATCGCCCATACCTCTCCCCGTGTGTCTGTCGCTCCATCTCTCATTACACTACCTCCCTCCCTCCCAGCCTCTCTTAAACTCCTCCTCTGCGTGTGTTACTCCATCTCTCATCCCCTCTCCACTGTGTATCTCGCTGCATCTCTCACTTATTTCCCCATCTCCGACTCTCTCCATCTCTCATCCTCTGTCTCCATCCATCTCCTCTACTCTCCCCCCCCCTCAACCACTGTCTCTTCTCTCCTTCCAGACTCTCTCCTTTCTTTCTCTCCACCTCTCTTTCGCCATCTCTCCCCATTCCCTTTCACCGTGCTGATCTCCATCTCACTCCCGACTACCCAAGAGGCAGTGGAAGGATCGAAATTTGCGCTTAGCCCCATGGCGCGGGTGCGTGACTGTCCACATTACAGTGCCGGGATTCACGGCCACTGATTTGCGTTTGTTGAGCGATTTCGACTACGATTTGACATTCACTGCACTCGCCATTGGCTAAAGTAGTGCGTGTGCATGGTGTAATGTATTGCCCCTTACTGTTGCGGGAAAGATAATGTGCATACCCTATGACATCGCCATCAGCAAGAGAATACCGTTGTAGGCTGCGGGTGTCATCGGTGAAAATTATATATTAAAAAAAATCCAACATCAAAATGAAATTAGCACGCGAGTCTCTGTGGACGTGGGATCCTGGTCTCCCGTTACAGCGATAATGCATTTTAAACGACTCTCAAACTGAATAACAAGATTCGTTCAATTTCAACGAGCTCTCACTTTGTTAAATAGATGGAGTCAATACCAAAGGCGATTCATATCTCAATGAAAAACTCGCCTACTTAAATTATGTCAACGTCAAGCCACAGGAAAGAGGCATTGAATCTCGGTTGGTAAAATAAATGGCATCGATCACGATAGAATGGGATTTTTTTTGGAACGCTTAAATACGTGACTCAAATCGCACGGGATAATCTCAAAACGAGCTTGCATTTTGCTAAATAAAGATGTCAGCACAAAGGAAGCAGTTAATCGCAGCGGTCTCTCTAGGGGCTGCGGTCGTCCTTGTAAAAGAGCCGCTTAGCTCAATGGGCCTTAACCAGCTGAAATAATAAACTCCGAGTCTCTCGCCTACAGCAAGTTGAAGGGCGTCAATCGCGACGGACAATGGCTCGCACGGATTTTAATAAAGACCTAACGCACGCGAATCGCACGCGATAGCGATTTCTCAATGGGCTCGCTCTCACGTGGCTTAAACAAAGGACGTAAATCACAGCGGCTAATTAATCTCAAAGGGTCCTTCCTTGCCTGGTTAAATAACGGACATCGCCCGGTCTCTGTTCGCTCCGGGCCGCCCTTCAGCACCGGCGCGCGTGGACAGCGCCTCAACACCCCCCCCCCACCACCTCCAACCCACCCCACCAGACGTGTGACGTCATCACGAAGTGAGGGAGAAGAGGTGGGTCACAATGCGTGGCGTCATCGCGGCTAGCATTAAACGCGGTGACGTCATCGCCGATGAATCACGCGGATGACGTCACCGCGAATGAAGCACGTCCGGTGACGCCATAGCCCAGGAGCCACAATGAAGTAAATTGCAGTTAAACAATTGATGCGGCAATGCTGCTGCTACTGCTGCTGCCAGTGGCGCACAAGTACACATCTAACAACAACAAAAAACTGAACACATGTTCAATTACACAGTGGGGTCAATGGGCGACGTTTCGGGCAGTGATCTTTGTTTCAAAGTACACGAGGCATAAAGAAATGTAATTTGACAATGGGTCGTCACGGCGCACCTTGAACACAACGTTATGCCCATCAGCCAATCGATATGCGCCTCGTTTGTCAATGCTTTCCAATAGCAATCGTTCAAGCAACACGATGCATATGCAATGTTTGTTAATAACGATGGTGCTGATGGTTAATGCTAAAGTAAACTTAGTGCTGATGTTATGGTAAATGCTGAGGTAAACTCAGTATTGATGTTAATGATAGTAAATGCTGAGGTAAACTCAGTATTGATGTTAATGATGGTAAATGCTGAGGTAAACTCAGTGTTGATGATGATAAATGCTGAGGTAAACTCAGTATTGATGATGGTAAATGCTGAGGTAAACTCAGTATTTATGTTAATGATGGTAAATGCTGAGGTAAACTCAGTATTTATGTTAATGATGGTAAATGCTGAGGTAAACTCAGTATTTATGTTAATGATGGTAAATGCTGAGGTAAACTCAGTATTTATGTTAATGATGAGGTAAACTCAGTGTTGATGTTAATGATGGTAAATGCTGAGGTAAACTCATTGTTGATGGTAAATGCTGAGGTAAACTCAGTGTTGATGATGGTAAATGCTGAGGTAAACTCAGTATTTATATTAATGATGGTAAATGCTGAGGTAAACTCAGTGTTGATGATGGTAAATACTGAGGTAAACTCAGTGTTGATGATGGTAAATACTGAGGTAAACTCAGTATTGATGTTAATGATGATAAATGCTGAGGTAAACTCAGTGTTGATGATGATAAATGCTGAGGTAAACTCAGTGTTGATGATGGTAAATGCTGAGGTAAACTCAGTATTTATATTAATGATGGTAAATGCTGAGGTAAACTCAGTGTTGATGATGGTAAATACTGAGGTAAACTCAGTATTGATGTTAATGATGGTGGTAAATGCTGAGGTAAACTCAGTATTGATGTTAATGATGGTGGTAAATGCTGAGGTAAACTCAGTGTTGATGTTAATAATGGTGAATGCTGAGGTAAACTCAGTATTGATGTTAATGATGGTGGTGAATGCTGAGGTAAACTCAGTGTTGATGATGGTAAATGGTGAGGTAAACTCAGTGTTCATGTTACTGATTATGGTAAATGCAGTGTCTCTGTGCCAATGACAGACGTTATTGATGATTTTAATTGCGGTGATTATGTTAATGATGGTAAATAATGAGGTAAACTAAATTGTTGATGTTAATGGTTTGTGGCAAATTATGAGGTAAACTCAACGTTGATGTTATTGATGAGGTAAATGACTCACTGTTTTCAGTATTGACGATGATGAAGATGATAATTTCAGTGTTTTTTCTGCTATAGGTGGCAATGGCGCTGCTGCTGTTACAGCTTGGGCTGTTATTGTTGCTGCTACTGCTGTTATCGCCACTTCTGCTCCTGCCGAGTATCACTCTGACTGTTGCAGCTGCTGTTGCTGATGTTGCAAAGAGTTGTGACATGGCCTGTGCTGTCTCTTGCTCTATCCCCCAGGGGAGCTGAAGGGCGCTTGCAAGAAGATTGACTACTTCCCCGACGACCAGGACTATGAGAAGGGCAGCGCGGAGTACCTGCTGCGTGAGAGAACGCACACACACACATACACACCTGGTTGATCGGTGATCTTATATACATACACACCTGGGTGATCCTATACACATACACACCTGAGTACACCTGGGTGATCATATACACATACATACCTGGACGATCTTATACCCATACACACTTGGGTATACCTAGGCGATCTTATACACATACACACCTGGGATACCTGGGCGATCTTATACACATACACACCTGTGCATACCTGGGCACACCTGGGTGATCCGATACACATACACACCTGGGCACACCTGGGTGATCTTATACACATACACACCTGTGTGATCGGTGATCTTATACACATACCACCTGGGTATACCTGGGTGATCTGATACACATACACACCTGGGCATACCTGGGTGATCCGGTACACATACACACCTGGGCACACCTGGGTGATCTTATACACATACACACCTGGGCATACCTGGGTGATCTGATACACATACACACCTGTGTGATCGGTGATCTTATACACATACACACCTGGGCATACCTGGGTGATCTGATACACATACACACCTGGGCATACCTGGGTGATCCGGTACACATACACATCTGGGCACACCTGGGTGATCTTATACACATACACATCTGGGCACACCTGGGTGATCTTATACACATACACATCTGGGCAATCTTATACACATACACACCTGGGCATACCTGAGTGATCTGATACACATACACACCTGGGCATACCTGGGTGATCCGATACACATACACACCTGGGCACACCTGTGTGATCTTATACACATGCATACCTGGACGATCTTATACCCATACACACCTGGGTACACCTGGGCGATCTTATACACATACACACCTGGACACACCTGGGTGATCCGATACACATACACACCTGGGCACACTTGGGTGATCTATACACATACACTTCTGGGCACACCTGTGTGATCTTATACACATGCATACCTGGACGATCTTATACCCATACACACCTGGGCACACCTGGGCGATCTTATACACATACACACCTGGACACACCTGGGTGATCCGATACACATACACACCTGGGCACACTTGGGTGATCTATACACATACACATCTGGGCACACCTGTGTGATCTTATACACATGCATACCTGGACGATATTATATCCATACACACCTGGGCACACCTGGGCGATCTTATACACATACACACCTGGACACACCTGGGTGATCTGATACACATACACACCTGGGCACACCTGGGTGATCTATACACATACACATCTGGGCATACCTGGGCGATCTGATACACATACACACATGGGTGATCAGTGATCTTACACACCTGGGCACACCTGGGTCATCTTATACACATACACACCTGGACGATCTTATACACATACACACCTGGACGATTTTTACCCAAACTCACCTGGGCACACCTGGGCACACCTGGACACACCTAGGCGATCTTATACACATACACACTTGGGCACACCTTGGCAATGTTATACACAACCACATCTAGGCACACCTTGCCATTCGTATACACATGCATACCTGGGCACACCTGGACAATCTAATACACATACACACCTGGCGACACCTTGGCACACCTGCGCTATCTTTTACACGTACAAACCTGTACACCTGAACATTCGTATACACATCTGGGTACACTTGGCCATTCTTATACACATACAGACCTGGCACACCCCGCCTGGCTATGTAGGCTGTAAGAGGGATCTGTGTGTGTGTTTCTGCGTGGGGATTGGAAGTGCAGTAGTTAGCACACTGCACTCCGAACCTGGCGCCCTGAGTTCTATTCCTGCTCACGACCACTAATCATGTGACGAATATTTCAACCGGTCCTGGGTCTCCCCAAGATCGACTCAGCCATAAGCGAGTACCTGGTGCGGTGTGAGAACAATCAACACTGGGGAGACAAAGGCGACCGAGCGTATGCTGGCACCTTCGTTGCTGGGGGGCGACTGCCAGGAAGAATTGTCTTGTTTTTACATATGTATGTTTGGTACCAGCGTTGTCAAGATCGATCCTTTGTGGAGGAGGTTCGTGACGGGCACTTCCTTGGGAGTTTGTGGCAGTCGCCCTCCGGCAACAACGGAGAGTGATGCTCACAACAATGAGCAGAAGCGCCGGGTGGCTAAAACGCAGACAGTTGGCACAGTAGGGACCACAGTTGGTGCAATCTGCCAGTCACCTCAGGCAGAAAACCCATGGGTCTGTTCCGTGACCTCCTGCCAGCGGGCCTTTTATACTTCACCTGATTTCAAAGTGTACCTAGCATGGCACAAACGCCACGATGACATCACTGCCACTTAACAGTGAATGGCGGTTTTGTTGTTGTTGTCGTCGTTGTTATAGGCGTGGTGCGAGCGTCCAGCGCGTTCCCCATCCTGAGCGCGACGCTGCTGCTGTTCGGCGGCGTCTCGGTGGCAGCGAGTGAACTCTACAAGCGCAAGCACAACATCCTGCTGGGCGCCGGCATCTTCTGCGTGTCCGCGGGTGAGCACCGCCAGCTCCGGCTCTCAAACTCGAGCACTAACACCACACTGCCCACTTAAATCTCCAACACGCTCGTCAACAACACTGTGGGCCTTTGCAGAAAACTAAATGTATGCGTGTATTTTCATATATTCGGCAACGTTTCAGGCAATGACCCTTCTTCACAGCACAAGAAGGGCCATTACCCGAAACGTTGCTGATTACCTATTGTCTTTTTATATTCTATGGCCAGTGTTGTTGACGAGTGTGTATTTTTGTTCATTCTGCTTTGTGCACCAGTGCAGCAGCAGCATCACCAAATGCTTAGTTTACTCTCTGCATAGGCACAATTAATAAACAAAACCTCAACACATTTATTTGTAAATAATGCGGCCTTAATTAGGGCTTCATTGTGCTGAAGCTGGTAGCTGTCCTTGGCTGAGCTCCAGAAAATGTTTCCTCAACCACCTCCTGGTGCTTGTAGGGGCGGAGGGAAGTCCAGGTGGTTGGGGTGTCCTTGGAAAATATTTCACCCCTCCGGCGTGTCTCTCCCGCGCCTTTCCCAGGCCTGAGCAACATCATCGGCATCATCGTGTACATCTCGAGCAACTCGTACGACCCGGCGCAGAGTGACTCCAAGAAGAGCAGCTACCAGTACGGCTGGTCCTTCTACTTCGGCGCGCTCTCCTTTGTGCTCGCCGAGGTGGTGGGTGTCGTTGCCGTCCACGTGTACATCGACAAGACGCGGGTGGCCCGTGCACGGGCCCGGCCGCACCAGCTGCAGCACCTCAAGCGGCCCGTGCCAGCCCCGGGGCCCTACTCCACGTACCGGGCGCGCTACCGCCGCCGCTCGCGATCCTCGTCGCGCTCAAGCGACCCCGCTCGCTCCCGCGACGCCTCGCCAGGCCTCCTCCCTCCGCAGTCGCTCCAGCACCAACAGCAGCAGCACCAACAGCAGCAGCTACTGCCCTTGGGGGCACCGAGGTTGACGCAGGTGGGACCTCCCATGCCAATGGCCGTCACGGACATCATCCCCATGTACGCGCTGCAGGCCACGCCAGGCCGCGATGTGTCGTCAGCCTCCGCCTACAATTCTGTTCGTGGACCACCCGGGCCCTTCCTGCAGCCCCACGCGTTCTCGAGCAAGGACGACTTTGACGACTCGACGCTGCCGCTCGCGAACCGACGAACTACGCCCGTGTGAGCGTGGGGTGGTGGGCGGCAAGGAACGTGGGGTGGGGGTGAGGGGCGCCCAGGACGTTCCCACGATGGCGTGATGCTGGTGATGGAGGCCATGATAGGAAACTGGCAACGATCAAGGTGATCGTAATTATGATAATGATGGTGGTGATGATGAAAGCTACAATGACACACTAGGCGAAGATGGTGGTGATGGTGGTGGCTTATGTAGACGAAGGTAACAAGGATGAAGTGGCGGAGATGGTGGTGATCAAATTCACGATGAGGAACTAGTGGTATTGATGGTAATAATTGTTAGCGGTAGTGTCTCAATGATGTAGAGGGTTGTCAAGATACTGGACTGGCAGTGATAGTTGTCATGCTCACTGATGTCAGTCATGATAATGAACTGGCGGTGGTGATAATGATGATGGCGCTGAAGAATATGATGTTGATAATGGTGATGATTACGATGGTGGTCACGATTTTGTTGGTAGTAGTCGTGTTTACGATCATGATGGTGGTCATGATGATGATGGTAGTGATGATGGTAGTGATGATGGCGAAGCAGCCGTTGCTGGTGATGGTGCTGGGGGAATGGGTCAGGGACCAGATTTCAGTGTTTAATGTTGTGATGTTTGTTGAAAGAAAATGTTTTAAAAGGTGCACGTGGGCAGTGGCCCCACACATAGCTACATATACATAGCTACACACACAAATAGGTATATACACATCACCCACACACAGACATAGAGATGCACACATATATAAACATATACTGTACAAATCACACACATATAATACATACGTACAACACGCATATACACACTTCAGGATCACACGGATATACTAAATACGTACAGGTACATAGCGACAATAAACACAAATTAAAGAACACGTACACAGAACACACATAGGTACTTAACGACGCACACACGTACTGACATTCGCACACACTCATAGATATATTCACAAATAGAGATGCGCGCACTAACACAAGACACACGTACATACATACAACACACGTACATACATACACACATCGATACAAACATACATACAAACGTAAATAAAATAAACCCAGAACACGTGTATAAAGCGACCTCAATGAAGACGTCATGGCCATTTGAGACGGCCCACGCGCCGCGTCCCAGTGTACACCTGGGTCATCCCGTGTGCACCTGGATCCCTGTCTGCCCCTACCCCCTCTAGGGTGGTCTCCCCCCTTCACTTCCCCACCCCAATGCCCCCCCCCCATACCTTCCCCCCCCCCTCTCCCGCGGGGCCGCTCGCAGCGAGCCGCGTCTCTCAGTGCCATTAAGCGACACTCGTATGAATGAATGCCTTACTTCACACCCGTGTTCCACTCGTGACCACGGTCCGTCTTGCCTAGGGGAGGAGGGAGGGAGAGGGGAGTAAATTCCACATTCCCATGACTGGGGCGGGGGTGCGGAGAGCAGTTCAACCACAGTGGCGATGATGATGATCACAATAATAAAACGCGCTGCTAAAAATAACGGGGCGACGGGTTCAGAATCCGCGTCCTCACAGGGAGGTGTCACTCGGTTCGAATCCAGATGAGGGGGCGAGGTGTGCCAAACTGTGCCCAGGTGTGCCTAGGTGCTTATACGAAGTGATGTGTAGAGATATTTACGTAGAGAGATGTAGGATGAATTCGATGATGTTCTCCGCTCTGTGTCTGACTTTCGCCACCGCTGTAAATTCAGGTGCAGCAGCTAAATTCCGCGGAAGTTCCGCCTCTCGCTACTCCATAGCGCAACAACTTTGAATTTACAGCCGTATATATATAGCTACAACCACAGCCGCAGATCTGTGTCAACGCATAAACAATCGAGCGAGCGTAACTTTGTTTGTGTGAAGGTGACTTCCGCGGATGTCTATTGTCTCGGGACCCAAAGTGATGTAGCCCCCCTCACCTCCTCCAGGTGTCAAAGTGGGGACAGCTGTGGTCACGTGTTCAGAGAATTTATTTCCCAAACCTCTCTGCGCGCGAAACATAATAGTATTTTATTTATATTTGTACCGTGTATTTTTTGTATTAGTTTTTACATTTATTTATGTATTTATTTGTATACCGATTTATTTATTTACTTAATTACACCTGAAAAACTCTCCACGCCAGGTGAGCGAATGGGTCACGTGTCTACCAGCAGAGCGCAGTGTCGTTTTGTAACAGATTCCCTAGCCAATCACCGCGCGTTTCCTAAACCACTCCTCACACCTCCTCTCTCCTTCTTGCCACTCTGACATCTGCTCTTAGTTCAACTTACCTCCTCACTTCACGCCTCTCATCTTACTTCCACCCACCTCATTCTTCACTTCGTTACCTCTCCTCCACTATTCTCTCACCTCCTCACACCATGACCCTCTCCTGACCTCTCTTTTATCACCTCTTCTGACTTCTCTCTTCTGAAGCAATAGCGTCGCGACCTACGCTCATGGTTGTCATCACGCCTCCGCGATTCGACCCGACCTGTCCTTCATTAATTCATCTTTCATTCAAAGTCCGATGTCAATCCACTGCTGAATGAACGCCTCCCCAAGCTGTGTCGGTCATGATATTACCCGACATTATATGACCTGACCCGACCCCCCCAAACCTGATGTGACCTATATGACCCTACCCAACCAGACCCGATCAACTGTCGGCTTGTGACTCCAGGTTAAGGAGGCTGCAATCTCCATCTCGGTTTTCCCACTATCAGGTGTCAGCACGTGCAGGTGGGTTCATGGAGTCACTGGAATGCGCTGTCAGTGGCTTCATCATCAGCGCTTTCTCCGCAAGACGTGAGAGCGCGGCGGTCTTGGTGAGAGCCCAACACTCCAGCATCTCGTCATCCACCTATTCATCACCTATCACTCGATCCTTGTGTCAATCCACTCATCAATGAATCTACCTACACCTCGCGGCATCCGAAACTTGAAAAGCCAGGGCGCACCAGTGTTGATTCTGGTATCCAGCGAACAAGAGGGAACAAGTGGAGAGTCTGGACGGCGGAATTGATTTGGGTGTGGAGAGGCAACTATATCCACAGTCTCGGTGTAGAACTCCGCAAGTGGCGTGAGATTGCGAGAGCAGACTTTGGAGGTCACGTGCTGCCTGCACTCCCGCTGCGGGATGCGGCAGAAGGAAACGATGGCGAAAGGAGTGGTAGCATCAGTGGCCGTGATGATGATGCCCTCTTTAATTTGTCAATTTGAACTTGAGTGCCTCCCCAGCCACCTCGAGGAGCTACCTCTTAATTCGGGGCACAGAGTGGTTAGTGGGGGGGCATTGCTGTTTATTAGGGGGCATGGAGCGTCCCCCTACCCCGCCCCCCCCCCAAATCCTCTAGGATCGCCACAGACTGGAGCCACGCGCCGACACTGACCCTATTCCTTGTTGGGCACAGCCCCAGAAGCGGCTGCCCGTTTTGTGCAAAGAGCTACTGTCCATTATTAAATGTGCCGGTGCCAGTGCCAGCTCGTGAGCTGTTGCCCATAAGGCCTCGGAACACTGAGCCGCGTTTGAGTCCGGGAGTGAGTTTCTCTGCTGCTGTGTCGGTGTCGTCTGGGTTTCAAACTACAAACCCAGAAAGCTGGATTTTTTTTTACATAAATAAAAGTGGCCGGTTGCATAAATAACTTAAGGGTAATTCTCACTTTGTGTAGTTGACACTTAAAGCAATATATGTTACTGGGTGGAAGGGATTACTCGCGTTTTATGTAACCGGACACTGAGGCTTTGGAATCAGGGGTTTCATTTAGCATTTATTATGTTTAGCTGATCGTGACCACGTGATCAGATTCATTGCCTCCCTGTACAATTTGCTCGAAATTTGAGTAACAACAGCTGTCTCCTTATTTTACGAGCAGCGCCTGCTTTTTGTACAGAGTATCTGCTTAGTGTACAGCTCGTTGTCTGCTGTGTGTACCCCTGTCTAGTCTGTCAGCCGTGTGTACAGCTCTCTGGTCTGCTGTTGCGCATACAGCTGTGGTTTATGTGCTGTGTGTACAGCAGTCTGCTCTGTCTGTTGTTCGTACAGCTGCGTGGGCTGTCTGTTGTACGCACAACTGTTTGGTCTCTCTGCCGTGCGTACAGCTGTCCGGTCTATCTGCTGTGTATTATAGCTGTGTGTAACGACAGCTCCCTAACCACCCCCACCCCCATGCGGTTGATTTATCAGCAGGGAAACTCGCTTCCAGATGAATCCGCACGCGTCTTGCGTCCTAATGTTCTGTGTCCGAGTTGCGGTAAACACATATAGCGGAATTTGATTCCATTACTCTTGTCGTTTGTGAAAGTGTAACAATTTCAGAGTGAATCCGTCACTTTAGGGGGGGGGGGTGTTTAAAAACCAATCGGCCACTGAGCCTTTATAAACCTGGTCCACGCGAAGCGATTTTGGTTAAATCAAGGCGATTAACCGAGCGAGTGTCCCACGGAAGAGTCGTCGCGCCGCGTTTCGCGCGCCACCGTTCCGCGCGAGACACCGGGCGCCTTCCCACGCACGTGTTGCCAAACTCAGCTATTTATTTGGTCGCTGTTTCTCGGCTGCGACTTATTGGGTTTGTCGAGTGGCAGAATTTGTTTTGATCAAATTGGGTCTAGCGACACATTTTTAACGACTTTCTCATGCAAATGCATTGTTTCAGATTTCTGAACGGCTACGGCTATGTATCAGTCGACTGTGTGTAATAACTCCGGTAAGTTGTCTCAGTGGCTGATTTAACGACTTTACAAGCTATATCTACAGCGACATCTAGCGCCTTTTTTAGGTTGTTATAGGGGGCGACTTTCCTCATCTCGGGAGTTGGCAACGCTTCTTATTCCAATGGCGAGAGACGGATTCAACTCGCTCGGTTGTTTCCGAGTAAAACTGTGGGTTTTTTGTTGTTGTTTTGTTTAATCGCTTGCGTCGAAGCGTCACGTGTGCGTCGCGGCTCCAAGACGCTGAACCTTGCGCGGGTTTAAGAGCCATAATTATCATATTTAAAGGACTAATTAATTAGATTATTTTTTCTAATGCTCAAGCAAAAGGTGGCTTGGTCCATGCGTCGCGTTTCTAAGTTGGTCTCGGCTCGGGGTGGAGAGAGAATAAAGGGAACAGCGTGGAGGGAGGAGGTCCAATGCAAGCATCTGCGTGCTCACCACCACGTGATCCTCCTGCGTGTGCGAGTAAGGAGAATGGGTGATGTGATGGCGTGATGGTGGTGGACAGTTGAGTGATGTTATGGGCGATGGTGGTCGACATTGAGTGATATGGTGATGGGTGATGATGCCAATGGGCACTGGATAATGGTGGTGGTGAGGGGTAATAGTGATGGGCATTGAGTGATGGTATTGAATGATGGCTATGGGTAGTGGTGGTGTTAATGGGTGAAGACCACTGAGTCATGGTGATGGGTGATGGTCAGTGAGCCAGAAGGTAATTTCCGATTAAACACATCCAAAATCAAAAGATGAATCAATCGATGATTCTCCACGTGGTAATGCGGAATTTCCACCACCATTGGCTCAGATCCCAGAACACCCCCGGCGCTGGAAATAAACACATTCCTTGCGGACATCGAAGCCCATTGATTGATCCCGCATCGTCAATTAGCGCCCAAATGCTCATTAAATATTATCCGGGCCTCCTACCCACGGGACACTGCCCGGAATCAGATACAAACCCAGGGGTGGGTCACTTGCACGGTCCCCTCACCATCCCGCTTGCAGTGGGGGCGGGTGTGGCTATGTCTGAAAGATGGGTATGGGTTTATGAGTCATGGGTATTTGTTGCTTACAAGTGTCACAACAGCAACTACGCTAACCTCTAAACGGCCCAACCAACGCTGCCACCCGACCAAAACTACCCTTCAACCACCCACCCATCCACTCAGCCACCACATTCCCTCAACCAGAGGGCGGTTCTAAAAACTTCCCAAAGAGTGACAGTTCCAAATGTTCAACCTTTATAAATAGGACCCTAGAATTAATCAAACAAATTCTATTCTATCCCCAAAATTCCAGGGCCTCACAGGAGGGGGACTGGGGGGAGCAATCGCCCCCCTCCCCCACCCCATGGATTCACTACTGCCCTTAACCACCCGACTACCCCTCAAACCATTTCAGCAAAACCACCCCTCATCCTGCCAACTACCACAATCTCTCAACCGCCACTACCCAAACTTCCCCCTTTCCCTCCCTCCTTCTCCACCACCTCCCACGCATCGACAAATTTGTCCGAGGTTTCGGGTTTCAAGAGCCCCGCCGGCCCCCCAGAGGCCATACCTTCCCCCTCCTCTCATCATCCCCCTCCCCCCGAACACAAAATCCAAGTTCACTTCACACCCAGAACTTCGGCGCAGCCACCACCAACACCACCACCACCACCGCCGCAATCACACAATCCCCACCGTGATCCGGTGGCGACAGAGAGGCTACACAGGGGGAGGCAGACGAACGCAAGGATGTCGGAGGGCAGCGAAGGGAAGATAAAGGCGGCCGCGTTCCTGGCTTTTGCTGGCTGCGCGCTCATGGTGGTGGCCATCAGCACCAACTACTGGGCCGTGCTGGAAGCCACGGCGAGCACGGCCAACGCGAGTCTGTGCGAGTCGGCGCACCTCGGACTGTGGCGCCTGTGCCGGCAGCAGTCGGCCCGCGACCCCGCGGTGGAGGACGGCGGCTGTCGGAAAGCACACTTCCCCACCAGCGGTACGAGGAGTTGTGTGGAAGAGTTGAATTGAATGGGGGTTGAGTGGAGTTGAATGGGGTTGAGTGGAGTTGAGCAGAATTGAGTTGAATCGAATGAAGTTGGGTTGCATGGAGTTGAATAGGGTCGAGTTGAGTTGAATGGAGTTGAGTCGAGTTGAATCGTGTTGAGTTGAATTGAGTTGAGTGAAGTTGAATAAAGTTGAGCAGAATTGAGTTGAATCGAGTGAAGTTGAGTTGAATGGAGTTGAGTCGAGTTGAATGGAGTCGAGTTGAGCAAAGGTGAATGAAGTTGAATTGAGTACAGTTGAGTTAAGTGGAGCAGAGTTGAATGGAGTTGAGTTGAATTGAGTGGAGTTGCGTTAAACGGAGTCGAAATGAACAGAATTGAATGGAGTACGATCGAGTGGTTGATAAGAGTTTCACTGAATTCATCTGAGTCGAGTTGAACGCAGTGGAGTCGACCTGAGTCTAGTTACGTTGAATTGCCGCAACAACAGCAGCAGCAGCGGTGGTGAGGTTGGCGGATCTCTCAAACCTTCCATCCCGCTGGACTGCGGAGGGCCGCCAGGAGATGGCGGTACAGCAAGTGGGTTCGTGGACCCGTCTGCGCGGACGTTTGAGTGTTTCCGCTCGTCGATGCGCGTGCTGTGTGTGGTGTTCTCCGGTTTTCCGTTTCTTTCCACGGCAATCAAAAGTTCATATTTTTTTCTCTTTAGAATGGACTTAGGCAAAGATCCCAAATGCAGGCTAGGACCCTCTTGATAAAGAGTCCGAGGTAAATGAACGTATTGGTGGTACACCGGTGGTGCACGGTATTTATAAATAAATAAAAAAGCCAAATTTTTCGCAATAATTTTTTTCTTTTCCCACGATTCGCAACCCCGGTCAGAAAATATTGCAGGGTGGTGGTGGTGCGGTCAAACTCAGTTCTCGTGATGTACGAAGCAGTCGGAAAACTAATGTTTTATGAGCAGCTGATCACAATGCTTCACAGTATGTTGCCGTATAGCAGCACCCAGCCTGATGGCGATTGGCTGGCTTCGTGTTCCAAAGGCAGATTTGACTGATGCCAAACACTTGGTCGGACGGTTCCTCGATTCAAAGGACCCAATTCAACGGTCATTATTGACCCTTTTTGTTGTTGCAAGTCTCAGGAGAGTGAATAAACTTGGCGACAGGGTGAATTAGCTGATTAAAAATGTTATCCGAGACTTTTATGAGGCCCGTTTGTGTTACGCTGCACCGGTGTACCGCCGATACGTCAAAACACATAACACTGCTGTAATTATGATTATTATCCGATATTTATCTGTGGTCGAGACTAACAACGGGATTGCAGCCGAAGGAGGGAACGCATCCGAGAAGATGTCTCCACCTCGAAGATGGAGCGATGAAATCAGCCTCGTGAAACCATGAAAGATAGTTACGCCTTGGCAAATTCTTCACCTAGCAGTGGATAGATCATGGCTGATTACCTCGAGTGACACCGTGGCTAAAGCAACTTGACTCACAATCGGAAACTGTCAAGTTCAAATTATCATCATCATCATCCTTCTTTGGGAGATAAAGCGAGGAGTTGCAATGTGCAAGCTAATATTGGTCGCCCATGGGGAGAATGACCCCCGCCATAGTAATGTGGAATATCCCCCACTGGCTCGTGACTAACCAGTGGGGCATGAGTGGCGCCTCCACTCTCGGTTGAGTGGTGAGAGTGTGGCTAGACACTTCAACCCACGCACAAGGAATCCTCCTGTCATCATACGCATCAGGAGCAGCATGATCCTGTTGTGATGAATTGGGCCGCGTGTAGAGTTTCAAAGGCGTGTTGCATCAAGGGGTCGCTCAGCCCTCAGTGCAAGATGCAGGCAAATGGAGCAAATCGACTGAACATCTGTAAACAAATACTACACACCAGGAACTTCACTGCCGTTATTTCATAAAAATGGATACTGTCGGATTACTTTTTGTTATATACAAAAAAAATGGCTTGCAGTGGAAAGGGATTCTGCGATTTGTAACGAATATCTAGCCATGTCATATGGAACTCTCGGGTCATCCCATACAGAACCCTCCCCTCACCCAGGACAGAAACCTTGCCTCATGCCATATATAACATAGGTCTCATCACATACGAAACCCTTGGCTCATACAATTTCATAGAGCCCTTATCTCATCCGTTAACCCTCTTGCCGACCGGCGCTCTCGCCCTCGTGTCGTTGGGACGTCTTAATTTGGCGCAACGAGCGTTAGCCAAATCAGCTGAGTCACAGACAATAAAATTATACATAATAACAGAAACCACAATAACACCAGGCAGAAACGATGCTTACACGTATTTATTATCATCCATCTATTCACTACCATCATCCTACATCTGTTCGCCAACACCATCATCTATACATTCACCACCACCATCATCCATCTATTCACCACCATCAAAATTGTCCATCGATTAACCATCATCCATCTATTCACCACCACCATCAAAATCATCCATCTATTCACCATCATCATCCATCGATTCACCATCATCATCATCCATCTATTCACCACCGCCATCAACCCACCATCTATTCACCACCATCACCATCATGTTTATACTGACCATGATCATCAACAACCTCCGTCATCATCATCACATGGTGAGCCGACATTAACCGCTCAAACGCGCGATGTGGCAATGCTCAGCTTCAGCTGTGCCCCTCCAGCTGCCGATTCCAACGCCACATTGCTATGACGGGGCCCACACACACCCATGCGCATGCCATGGGTGCGGCACCAGCTGTTCCCGTCCCAACACCAATCAGACGGTGCTCAGTTGTTCATTGACTCCGCGGGATGATGACGACGAAGGGAATGATGACAGTGTTCGACAACTGATTATTATGTTCAGTGCTGAATTTCAGCCGCATCCATCGCAGCTTATTTTGCCTTCACTATAGATGTGTTTTGTCCTCATAGGATTATAGGAGTGTAAGAGTGGAATAATGTCGCATCAATATGAGTATGCGTACCTTGTACTCGAGTGACAATCCTTACTCCAGGCCTCTATAGCAGCACAAGTGAGACAATTAAACCCCGGTGATGATTATTGCAAACTACTTATTTTGATTATTACCACGATGGTGGTGATTAATGGTGATGACAGTGATGGTGCCACCCTTTCAAAGTACCACCGTTTCAACCCCGCACGTCGCTAAGGCGGCAGACACGGGGTGGGCTACAGAAATCGGCCTCGCTCGCGTGAAACGGGCCCGATGGACGGCAACAGCTGAGTCGAGCTCGGGGTAAAATTAGCGCGGGGGGCGAGAGGGGACGAGGGGGGTGGAGAGGGATGGGCACGGGGCGCACGAGGGGACCTGGGAACGGCCAAAAGCGGGTTGACAGGTGGTGGTGCCGCCCGTCCACATCTCCTCCAACTCCTCCAGGTCCTTCAACTCCATCACCATCATCGTATCATCATCATCGTCTCCTCCTCCTCCTCATTCAGCTGCTCCGACTTAACTCAGCTTCCATTTATCAGCACCTTCATCGAAACCGATGAATGGGCTGATAAAGGGCAGCCTTCCTCCACTCCCACCTCTCCGCCCCCGACCCTCCCACCGTCGCTACCGATTAGGGTCTAAGCATTGAACACAAACACCGCGTAGGAAACGCTCGCTCTGCGCAGCGAGGAAATGCGAGGAATGTGGCGATGAGAAGCGAAGCTGGGAAAAGGGAATTTGTTACGGCGACAAGAGCCTGGGGCGAGATGCGAGCGAGGCTTTCCTCGTTGTCATTTGTGCGTTCTAAAGTCCACCGACAGCGCTTCGTGTGTGTCTAATCGGCTGTCTGTCAGTCGTTTGATTCGTGTGTCGGTCTTATTATTTATCTGACGTATTTGTCCGTCTGTCGGTCAATCAGCCTGTCCGCCTGTCTGTCTGTCTGTTTATCATTCGTGTGTCTCTCTGTCTCTGCCTGGCTGGCTGCCTGACCGTATATTTGTCTCATTGACTGTCTGTCGTCTGTATGTTTGGTATGTTTGTCTTTTGTGTCTTATGTTTGCTTGTCTGTTCGTCCGGTTGTCTGTTGTATTATCTGTATCATAATGCGTGTCCTTATCTACAAACTGTCTATCCATCTGCCTCGCTGCCCACTCCCTCTCTGTAGAGATCAAATGCGCCTTCTTCAAGCACTTTAAATTGGGAGCCGGAGATGACTTTGAGGTCGCCACGCAGAAAGGTGAAGATGCCAGGCTCTGTGAGAGAAAAAAAACAGCCCCGCGCCATCACTCGAAATCCGCGACCCCACGTCTCACCACGCGCCCCTGTGACCCCTCGAAGCTGAACTCCATGCCTTCTGGCCCACGTGGTCTCCTCTTTCCCCGCTCCCCAGTGACCCCTCAGAGCTTAAACCCTGTGTGATCCCTCTGAATCTCCATATCCTATCCCTTAACAACCCCTGCCATATCCCATTATCCCAACCCATGCCCTAACCCATCTCATAACCCTATGCCCTGACCTTATGCCACGATCCTCCATGGCTCTGACCCATTCCAATGACCCATTGCCTTAACCCATCCCATGACCCATGCCCTGATCCTCCACCCCCGCCCTATCTCTCGCCGTGACCACCCAACGTGCCCCCTAACGCCCTCTCTGCAACCCGCAGAGTACAGTATCTCAGCGGCGGTGATTGGCCTCCTGAGCTTCGTGCTGATGATCCTGGGCGCGGTGTGCGTGGGCGCGGGGCTCAGGAAGAACCGCACCTACATGATGCGACCTGCTGGCCTCTTGTGCCTCTGCGCTGGTACGTACACACACGCACACGTACACGCACGTACACATACACACACACACGTACACACACGTACACACATACACACACATGTACACACACGTACACGCACGTACACGCAAAACACAAAGATCCCCCCGATAGCCTTAACAGACTCTTGGGGCAAGTGCTGTTAGCGAGTAGCATCGATGAAGGCCAACACGTCACACGAGGGGGTGGGTGGCCAGGAGCCACGCCCGGCCGCCTTTGTCTCCCGAGTGGCGATGCTTTTACAAACCGTGCCAAGTACTCACTTGAGGCTGAGTCGACCTAGGGGAGGCCCATGACAGGTTCAGATAATACACAAACGCACCTCGTTTTTCCGTCCATCTGTCAGTCAGTCAGTGGCAGCGCCTACTCGAGTAACTTTGCTCTTAGAGAGTCGAGTTAGGGCTCGTTTTGCCCGGAAGGAACAAGGGGCATATGGTATTGAAAATGAGCTATGTATGATAGATAACAAACAAAAAATTACTAGCCACTGCGTGGAAAATATGGCAGAAAAAAAGTCGGTGACCGCTTTTCCACACGTATAGAAATGTCTCTCCATAATAAAACATTTTAAGTGAGAAACCGCGGGATGTGCCACAGTGGTGGAATGGTTCGCAGCGCACTGGACTTGCCACCCAGAGATCACCGGTTCGATTCCACCTCCCGGCACGGCAGTACAAACAATGGTGGCGAGTTTCTTAAATCTCCCGTAACTGCCTCTGTTCAAGCAGCGGTGTAAATGGACGCGCCGCAGGCGATCGTAAGATCGCGCGTGGTGGGACAAAGTGTGGGTACCCCCACACACTACCTAGAGACCTCTGGCTAATCTAAAAGCAATTCTGCGCGGTGGAAATAACAACCCAGTAAACATGGCAACGTTGGGCCATCGCTGACATGTGCTTGGAACCGTTGTTGAACCAACAACGTCCCATGCTTAGAACGGAAGGATACATGTGTGCAAGCTTCCTCGCTCAGCATGGCTTCGAAGTGTCATGCAGAACAATTACGTGGGGTTTTCTTTCCGTGCACGAGAAGCATCGCACACGAAAGAGAATTCACCGAGAATTGTTTTTCCTTTTGGGCTCGACGCCCAGTGCTGTAGCAAATGCGGAGCGAGACAGGGTGGCGTGGCGGCTGTCCCAGACGCCCTCCCAGGGGGTTGGCGGGGTGTGGAAAGGGGCTGTGGGCACCGCCAAGATGTGTGGCCGTATAGTGGGGTAAAGTGGCAAGCAGCAGCAGCTGGTGGCTCACATGTTTTGTGGTGCGGTGCTGGAGGGAGGACAGGAAGATGGCACCTTGCCCTAGATTCCATAACATCGAGCTGCTACGCCTCTTACGACGTCTGCCGCGCGTGCAGGCCTGTGCGTGGTGGTGTCGGTGGAGGTGATGCGTCAGTCGGTGAACCGCATGATCGACAGCCACGCGACCATGTGGGAAGCGGTCACCTTCTCGTGGTCCTTCGGCTGCGCCCTGGCGGCCGCCACCATCCTCTTCGTCTCCGGGGTGGCGCTGGTGCTCATTTCTCTGCCCAGGATTCCGCGTAACCCCTGGGAGAGCTGCCACGACTCGGACGAAGTGCCCGAGCAATAGTCGCGCGGTTCGACGCAACGTTGTCACCGACAGGAAGACGACAACGCGCACGCGGTGATGGAGGAATCGCCGTTTTGCCGGGGGTATAGAGCAGGGTTCGTCGTCGTTTGAAGTCGACTTTTAACAGGCGGATCGACGGCTTTGAGATTAATTCTGAAGTCGAGAAAACGAGTCTCGTCCCATATAGAACCCCTAACACATCCAATGTAGAGCCCTTGAGAATCCGTTTATTGTTGAAAAGGGGTTATGAAAATTATAAACTACATCCCACCATCCCATAGAGAAGCATTTTCTCATCCCATATAGAAGCCTCGTCTCTTATACAGAATCTTAGTGTCATCCAATTATCGAGCCCTCATCCCATATTGCGCCTTTTTCGAATCCTATACATAATCCTTGTCACGTCCTACTACATACAACATCCTCATCTAAAGCCCATACAAAACCCTGTTCTCATCTCCTTGTCTGATAAGATACATCTACATTTTGTGCAATACAGAACCCTCATCCCATTCATTACAGAAAGCTCGTCTCATCCCACACAGAACCCTTGTCTCACGAGGATGAAAGTTGAGCTCACAGTGTAAACTACTTTGCAAGGCGAATATTGATTAATCGAATCATCGACTGAAAGCGATTCTTACGCTGTTGGTGCACGCATTAGATTGTGCCATTGAGTATCATTTACAATGTATTCAAATGACTGTATATGCAAATGAGACAATGCATTTGACAGAAGCAGCAAGCGAGAGAAGTTAAACGGGACGAGAAAACAAACCTCAATGTTAGAATCGTTACTCTGCTCCGGCAAATTCCGCTTGCTCTATCCTTGCGAATCACAAACTCCACGGCATCTACCCTAATCGTTTAAATGCAATCTATAAACTTAAACTAAAATATTTTTTATTATACCAGGTAAGGCCCACTAAGCAACCTGGCCACAGACGATAGCTCAACGAAGCGGCTTATCGCGCGGAAATGTTTAGCAGCCAAATACTCTAAAACGCATACTCAATGCGTTTAAGATGCCAAATACTCAATCACATTTGCACGCACCACCTTAAGCGACTAATTGCCTGCCAAACAAGCCTGCGTCGATTGCACGATTAATCGATAGGTGGAGCCTGAGCTGGAATCGTTGTTTTTTGTTGTTGTATTTTATATGCACGGTTGTGTTTCCCTCGACGCGAGCGGTTGAAACCCCGCTCCAGCGATCGACGCCAAGTGACGGAATCGCTCTGTAGGGGGACCCCCCCCCCCAGGGGGACCCCCCCCCCTTACAGGGATCGTCGAGTGGGGACGTGGGGCACGCGGGATGTGGGGGTGTGGGTGGTGGTTGTGGGCAAAATGTTGGGATTCGTGTGACCGCATGTTGGTGGAGTGCTCACGTCGCTGAAAACTTCGGAGAGAATGAGGTTGAGAAATGGGGAAAAGCCACGTTTGGCTCGAGTGATGGAGATTAGGGTTGTTAGCATTTTTTTACGCATGTGAAAAAAATCGCTAAACTGTGCCTTAATATGACATTTTTCAGATGATGCGGATTTTTTTTCTTTTTCGGAATATTTTGGTTTGATGAGAAAGTTTGCCACAACTTCACGTCACGTGACATCGGTCGACATTACTTTTCTCGTGCGAAGCCAGGTCACGTGTTAACATTGTGATCCAAACATCTGACGGTCCAATTCATGTTGTTGTTATCCAACATTGACCTTAAACAAAAATCTCGAAATCAATATTTGTTTTAACATCTGAAAACCATCTCTAATTGAGATCATCGTCAGGTGGCGAAACACTTTAGCCAATTTGTTGTCCTTCCCCGCACCTTTGATTAGCACGTTTGGCTACGTACGGTGCGAAAGAAGTTCAACACACAGAGCATTGCAACATGATCTCGAACCACGATGGCCTAGCACAATCGCCACCTCCTGGCCTCTTATCTTCTCTCCAACCCCCCATTTCACTTATGATTCGCTCACCCGTTTTGGAGCTCGCAGCGATGAAGTTTGTCGCATTATATTATACTTTGTTATCCTGCTGGAATGTAACCGAGTGTTCAGTTATCGCCTTCGTAATTTTCCACCGCGTTTATAGGCGGCAAGATTTGTTATGAGCACGACGACCGACTTTGGAATTAAAGCGCAGGCCATTGATTGCTCTTTTTGTGGTGTCGCTGCGTAGCTGTGAAGCAGCTCACGGGGCATGTAGTGACCCCAGGGTTTGGGTGTGAGACAGAGACCAATTAATAGAACGTGAAATCCATCCGGCACCAACTCGGAACCATCAGGGGAAATAACGCAAGTGCTGAAAACTGGTGTAATTTTTTTTGTATCTAAACACCGATGTCTTTGAAGTATCTGGTAATACTGCTGCTGTGTTGGCAGTGGTGCACAAGCAAACATAACAAGTAAAAAAAACTATCTTCGTCAATAATATTGTGGCCTAAAAATAAAGAGTATATAATGTGATGTTTTAGGCAATGACTCTTCTTCAAAGAACATAGCATACTTCTCTGGCCTCTCTATGTTCTGTGAAGATGGGTCATTGACTGAAACGTCGCCTATCTACGTTTCGATAATACGTGAGGCCAAGCCAGTCAAAAACCCCTAGGGCAGTCGTCGACGTACGAACATAATTCGTTGCCGAGACCCGTTCGTAAGTCGAACGGTTTGTAAGTCGGGACACAATAATGTACTGTATTTAAATTACCACACACACACACTCACGCCCAGCACGAGGCTGACTCATTACATCTCGCGGAGGATCGCTCAGCTGAACAAAATAGTTCCGCGGTTCAGTTTGCAAGTGCGAGTACGCGTTTTCAGTCAATGTAAAAAAAAAGAATCGAGTTTTTATGGAAGCTGGTTCGTAAGTGCTGGTGTTTGTAAGTCGGGAGTTCGTAAGTCGATGACTGCCTGTACTTGTGTCTACTTGAACACGCTGCTGTAACCGCTCTTGGTCTCCAGTCTATTTTGTGTGATGAGGGTGTCCGGCGGATTTTGCGTCTTGTTCATACCTCGGGATGTCCCTTCCCACCCACAACTTTGGGAATTGTCTAAGCACGCATTTGAAGAACCAAAGTATGGCCATGCCCAGTGGTGGATCCAGGATGGGGTGGGGGAGGGCAATGGTCACCTCCCCGCCCGAGAAGTTTCGAGATCCGGCTCTGCCCCATGCCTGGTATGCACGTTTTATTATAGGCTCCGCAGTACCAGCGTAGATTGGCGGCAAACAAGAATTGAGCGAGTGCTGAAAGTTGCTTTGACATTCGCGACTCAGTGTGTGTGTGTTATAAACTTGTTATAAATCATACCATTTTTATTTTACCAGATAAGGCCCATTTAGCTATATAGCTATTTTTTTAGAAGTTACCTGGCCACAAATAGCAGTTCAACGAAGTGGCTTATCACGTGGAAATTTATATCAGCCAAATACCATAAACGCACGTTGATAATTATAAATGTGGAAGGACAAACCGGAGGACCCGGAGAAGAATCCACGCGACCGCGGGGAGAGAGACACGCAAACTCCAAATATACAGCAGGCGTCAAGGTCGGAGCGAACCCACGACGACCTCCTGTATACCAGGCGATGTAGTTAACATATCGCCACCGTGTGTGTGCGCTGCCTGTCATACGCATGCCGTACGTCGCCTCCCTAACGCGAGCTAAGGACTGTAGCATTCTTGGCCGCCCCTGAAACGGCTTTGCGTTCTTGGATGGCCGCCACAATTGCCCACCCCGAATGAGAGGGACAGAGAGAGGTGGTGATGGAGTGATAACGATGTGAGGTGTGCAGGAGGGATCAGACGGAGATGTGTGAGAGATATGCATCGGCGTTATAGTAAGACTATAATAACTTTTTTTTTTGACCAGGTAATGTCAAATTATCTATATAGCTCTTTGTCAGAAAGCCACCTGGTCAGAAATGATTGCACAACGACGTGGCTTATCATCACGTGAAACAATGTATAAGAGCTAAATACTCGAAACGCACGTTGATTCTAAATAGGGACGAAAAAAACGGAGGACCCGAAGAAAAATCCACGCGGCCACGGGGAGAGGGACACACACACTCGAAATATCACAACAGGCGCCAGGATCGGGATCGAATTCACGACCTCCTGCATACCCGGCGAGGTAGTTAACATCTCGCCACCGCGGTGCGAGAGAGGCGGTGTGGGTGCGGGAGAGGCGGTGTGGGTGTGTGAGTGCGGGAGAGGCGGTGTGTGTGTGAGTGTGTGGGTATGTGAGTGTGTGAGTGTGTGGGTGTGTGAGTGACGATGTGGATGTGTGAGTAGCGGGAGAGGCGGTGTGCGTGTGTGAGTGTGGGTGTGTGGGTGTGTGAGTGTGTGAGTGTGTGAGTGTAAGAGTGTGTGGGTGTGTGAGTGACGGTGTGGATGTGTGAGTGCGGGAGAGGCGGTGTGCGTGTGTGAGTGTGGGTGTGTGAGTGTGTGAGTGTGTGAGTGTGAGAGTGTGTGGGTGTGTGCGTGTGTGAGTGTGGGTGTGTGGGTGTGTGAGTGTGAGAGTGTGAGAGTGTGTGGGTGTGTGAGTGACGGTGTGGATGTGTGAGTGCGGGAGAGGCGGTGTGAGAGTGGGAGAGGCGGAGTTGGTGTGTGAGTGCGGGAGAGGCGGTGTGTGAGTGTGGGAGAGGCGGTGTGAGTGTGTGAGTGTGTGGGTGTGTGGGTGTGTGAGTGCGGGAGAGGCGGTGTGGGTGTGTGAGTGTGTGAGTGACGGTGTGGGTGTGTGAGTGTGTGGGTGTGTGGGTGTGTGGGTGTGTGAGTGTGGGAGAGGCGGTGTGGGTGTAGTGGGTGTGGGAGAGGCGGTGTGGGTGTGTGAGTGTGGGAGAGGCGTGAGCGCGCGAGGCGAAGTATCTCTGGGAGATGTGTTTCAGAGAGAGATATGTGTAAGCGTGAGAGAGGAGAGAGCGAGAAAGATGTCGCGGTGAGAGAGGTGTGAGTTGGGTGTGGCGGTGAGGGTTGTGAGATGCGACAATGTGGGGATTGGTAGTGGAGCGGTTAGCGCGCTGCGCTTCGAATCTGTCGAGCCAAGTTCACAGCCTCCTCGAGGTCGACTCAATCTCAAACGAGTACCTGGTGCGCTGTGTAAACATCACCACAAAGGCGTGTGCCGTGCGGACCTTCATAGCTATTCGCTAACAGCACTTTCCCCAACACCCAACAGTATGTTCAGGCTATACGGGGAGGATATTTGTCTTTGATGTGACAATGTGAGATGTCTGTGGGAGAGAGAGAGAGAGAGAAGTAGCAGCAGCAGCACCACGGCACGGCTAGCTTGGTGCCAAGCTAAGTGCATCCATATCCTGGTATAAATATGTTGGTGCCCCGCTTTAGGGCCCCTAATCCGTGGCTGGGGGTGGGCAGTAGGGGAGGGGGGAGAGGGGACGAGAGAGCAAGCGTGGACGTGAACGAAGGTCGCCTTGGGACCACCCCCCCAAAAAAAAAACTACAAATAGCAACTCTCCCAGCTCCTACATGCTTCCTACTTGTTAGCGAGCACCTATTAAGGCTGCCTCTGACTGACGGCTGGGAGGTGATCGTCTTCACACCACCAGTGGCGGCGTGGAGACGCTGAGTCGACACGCTGCAAACACACACGCACAATACACCACACGTATAGTATACAGTCTATATACCACGCACGTATTCACACACACACGCGTGCAAACACACACACGCACATAAAATACACCACACGTATAGTATACAGTCTATATACCACGCACGTATTCACACACACACGTGCAAACACAACGACACAAGAGGTCACTCGCATGCATACATATAAAGCCTTAAGACTTTTTATTTCAAGCTTTCGTGACTGCAGGGATTCATATTCTTGGTTCTTTCAGTAAAGTCACGTAGAATGGAAATAATAAAATAAAATAAAAAATATAAAACAATAACAAAATGTATTAACAATAATTAATAAACACATTTTTTTATCGTTTTATATTTTATGTACTTTATTATTTCCCTTCTACGTGACTTTAGCGTTAAGACTGTTGGGGCAAGTGCTGTTAGAGAGCACCTTTGAAGGCCCGCAACGGCACACGAGGGGGGTGGGTGGCCAACACCACGCCCGGCCGCCTTTGTCTCCCTAGTGGCAATGGTTTACACATCGTACCAGGTACTCATTTGAGGTTGAGTCGATCTAGGGGGGGGGGGCGGCAGGACCGTATCAGCTAATCGCTGTTACCAAAGTTGGCCATGAGTGAGAATCGAACTCGGATCGCCGGGTTCGTCGCGCAGCGCACGAACCGCTACACTACCGCTCCCCACACACACCACACGCAGCCACACGCACATAGATCACAGACAGACACATGATAATGAGGAGGAAGAGAAGACGAGTCGGGGGAGGGGGAAGGCGGAGAGTAAAAGGCACGCGTTGTGGGCCGCGGGCATGGGTCGTGTCGGATTGATGTGGCGAGACGGACCCAGCCACGTGGAACGAGCTCCCCTCTCCTCTCCCCACTCCCCCACCGTCTCCGTCCCTCCTCTCTGCCTCTTACCCAGCGCCGATTCCCTCTTCTCCGCCTTATCTCTCTCCCATCCTTGTTTCTTTCTTTCTCCCACCCTGCCTCTCTCTTTCTCTCTATAGTATCCTCCCCATCGCTAGGTCGCCTATCTCCATCCCTTTCAATATCTCCCTCCCGCTGTCTGCCTCTGCTCAGTTTCTCCTCCCTGCATCTCTCGTCCTCTCTGTCTACCACTCTACATCCCTCCCTGTAAGCCCTCTCCCTCTCTAAAAATCTATATCTAGCTCCACTCCCTTCCCTTCTCTCTCCCTCTAACGCCTATCTCTCTCTCTCTCTGTCATATTCCTCTCTCTCTCCTCTCTGTTGCCTCTCCCCCGCTCTCTCCCCACTCTCCGCGCTCTCTGCCCTGATGGTCTCTCACCAGTTGTTCCTCATGCCTCACTGAAGCCGCCACGCGCTGCGGTCAAACATATTTACACCGCAAGGCATTACGCAGAAACCCCCGTCCAAAATTCCATCCTGGTCCACCAGGGCAAATATAACAGGAGGCTCAGGATTCTGGGGAAGTGCCCAAGGCTCACGAAGCTAAACTAAAGCATGCCCGACAAGATGCATAACATCATGACACGGTTCTTAGCCAGTGCTTTGGAGGCAAGGGCTGGTCAGTGGCTCACTAACATTTGTGAAAGTCCGAAACACCACGAGATCACAATACAGGAAGTAGATTTATGAAACCATCTGTGCGAATCTTTAAGTGTTTTTTACCTTCCTCTCATCGTGGTGGGTTTTCTTCTGGTACTCATTCCACCACTCCGATATTCTATCCCTTGAGACTGTGAG